TCTTGGCAGGGGGTTGGACTGGATGGCTTATGACGTCTCTTCCAACTCTATGATTCTATGATTCTAAGTACCTAATGCAACTTGTTTCACTGAAAGTGGAATAAAAGAACCTATTTAATGTTTTCAAAAGTACTTATGACACATCTTTATCTTCGTAAACCCCATGTCAACTCTGCAGGGAATCCCTCCAAGCTGATCATGACAGCAATGGAGCTCAGCCAATCACAGTTGGGGGCAGGAGCGGGAATTTCAAAGTGTTTTACGATATTAAAATGTCTGTTTTTCAATGTTATGGCATCTTGGCTTCCTTTGGCAGATTACCAGGAGCTGGCACTTGAATAAAATACCTTGGTGGTCTCTTCTTCAACTGGTGTAATTTATTTATTGGGAAATATTGGATTGTAGCTTCTTTGTCATGCCAGGCGCACAGATCCACAGGCAGCCACCTGCTAAACAGGACGATATCCGCGCTTTGGGTTTCGCTATCCATGGCCCGGATCCCACTATCTGCGGCTGCCTTAAATTGCTCAATTTCAAAAATGGTTTCAAACTCAATTGCACCGGGATTGTGGCACAGCTGGCTGAGTGTCAGCTGCATTAAGATCACTCTGACCAAAAGGTCATGTGTTCGAAGCCAGCCCGGGTTGGAGTGGGTTTCCAACCAATTGTGTAGCCTGTTGTTGACCTTTGCAACCCGAAAGACAGTTGCATCTGTCAAGTAGGAAAATTAGGTACCACCTTAAAGTGTGGGGAGGATAAATTAACTGATTTATGAGGCCATAAAGAAGACTCCAGCAAAGCATTCCAGTGGGGAAGCATGCAAGGAATGCGGAAGTGCTTCATCAGTATTGCAGATGGACGATGAAAGCGACAGCTCCTCTGGTGGCCAGAAAAAGTTAAACAGCCTCTGTGTATGTCTGTATATGTTTGTATGTCAAAAATTGGCATTGAATGTTTGTCATATATGTGTATACTGTAATCCGCCCTGTGTCCCCAGCAGGGTGAGAAGGGCGGAATATAAAAGCTGTAAATAAATAAATGATTCAACAGTATGGATATACCCTAAGAGTTCATATGGGGATACAAGCATCGACCATAAATTAAGCAGGCCTCTTCTTGGGCCAAGATTTCAGATGCATGAAGTCCATATCCAACTTTTGAATTAACTCTGTATAAAACAGATAGTTGGAGCCCTGAAACAATCCTTTATCATTCTTTAGAGTCTGCAGTGAGGTGACTGATTCTAGGGACAAGATAGCATAAAATTGGATGTATGATAAGCACAAGATGTTCTAGATAAGAAACGATTTTTCAGCCCTATATCTTCAATGGGCATTAGAGCCTGATCTATGCATGTTTACTCATTTATTCAAGTAACACACGAAATGTTGATTATCACAAAGACATCAGAAGGTTCGGGACCGTGAAAGAAGACAAGGCAGATGAACAGTCAATATGAGTGCATCTACACTGTAGCATTAATGCAGTTTAACATCACTTTAAGTGCCATGGCTCAATGCTAGGGAACTGTGGGATTTATAGTTCACAAAGTCTTTAGTTTTCTCTGCTAAAGAGTGCTGGTGGTTCACCAAACTATAACTTCCGGGATTCCATCGCATAGAACAGGTGAACTTTGGCCCTCCAGGTGTTGAAGTCCAAAACACCTGGAGGGCCAAAGTTTGCTCATACCTGACACAGAGTTATGGCAGTTAAAGTGGTATCAAACTGCATTTATTCGATAGTGTAGATGCACCCTGATGCTGGAGTCTGTGCCCATGGAATTATTGCTAATCTGGCCCAGATTACATGCTTTTGATGGGATACTCCAGCATTGGGAATGGAGCTAAATCAATAATATGCAGAACGACTGCAAAACCACAAACTCATGATTTCCATAAGTATTTCTGTGTGATCTGGATAGCCATAGAAGGGCTACTGAAGGAAACCCTTCCTTTGATTTGGTTAAGGATAAGCACGACATTGTTCATAACCTTAGATCCGGTTTCTTTGATTTAACATCTGAAGCAGTTGTTCTATAACTACCCTATTTTTACATTTTCCCCCAATTAAGCGTGCCATTCCTTTGCTTACTTTCATCTCCTCCCTTTTGATTCTTATTGCTTTTTGAAATGAGATTGAATCTGCTTGAGTTTCATAATGCAACTGGGATGGGAAACACTGGAATTTATTTAATTTGTATTATTATTATTATTACTTTTATTATTAAACTGCTTTTCCTCTTTTAAAAGAAACTCAAAAGTGGTTAACAATGTACAATTTGTATAAACCTCAAAATAGAAGTAAACATGGGAGTATTGAAAATAAATGTCAGACCACCATGTCCAACTACACAGAGAAGCCATTGAAATCCATAAGAAGCATGTGGACAATTTCAACAGAAAGGAGGAAACCATGAAAATGAACACAATCAGGCTACTAGTATTTAAAAACTCTAACATCAGGAAAGTATATAAGGAGCAAGAGACAAAAAAGCAGGGGAATTCCAGACAGGAAACAATCAGGGCCAGCTAACACCTCCCAACAAAGGATTCCCCCAGGCAGGAAGCAGCCAGGCTTTGAACCTGCAATGCTATTCAATGCTAATCAAGGTGGCCAATTGCAACATTCACACTTGCCTCAAATAGACAAGAGTTCTTTCTCCCACCCTGGACATTATTCCACAGATATATAAATCTCACTTGCCTAGTTTCCAACAGACCTCACAACCTCTGAGGATGTCTGCCATAGATGTGGGCGAAATGTCAGGAGAGAATGCTTCTGGAACATGGCCAGACAGCTCGGAAAACTCACAGCAACCCATTAAAAACTTATTAAATACATAAAACTCCTATCATCACCTTTTGTTTCTGTATCAAAAATGTTCTTCTTTAAAAGCCTACATTGAACAATTAACGTAGTTTGATACTACTTTAATTGCCATGGCAAACAAGGGAGTTGTAGTTTTACAAGGTCTTTAGGATATACTCATTATTTGCATATGCTAATTTTTTGCATGTGCTATTTTTTCCCACCCATAATAGTGACACTCCCCCAAATAATTATTTTATGTGTCACATCAAAATCTGCACATAATAATAATACAATATAATAATTCTATATTTCATAATACATGTAATATTACTATTTATTTGTCGTGTCAGATCAACCAGTCAATTATATTACATTTCTAACAGAACAAAGCAAACAAACAGATAAAATACAGCATTTGTGAGTTTGGTAGTTGATTAGATGTCCTTTGACCAGTATCTGGCCACTTGGAGTGCCTCTGGTGTTGCCACAAGGAGATCCTCCATTGTGCATGTGACAGGGCTCAGGTTGCATTGCAGCAGGGGATCAGTGGTTTGCTCTTCTCCACACTCGCATATTATTATTATTATTATTATTATTATTATTATTATTATTATTATTACTTTATTTGTACCCCGCTAGCATCTCCCAAGGGATTCGATGCAGCTTACACAGGCCGAAGCCCCAAAACACAATACAACAATACAATACCTAAAGCAAATTAAAAACAGTTAAGCAGAAAAACAATAACAGTAACAATACAACAAGACACTATTAAAACTGGGCCGGCCAGAGTAGGGGTACAGGATTAAAAGTGCTGATGTAGCGAGAGGAATGTAGGATTATAAAGTATGTGCAGTGTGCAGTGATCTTGGTTCTACTAAAGTGCTTCTAGGATTTGGTGCTGGAGGTTCCTAATCTGAAAAGGCACATCGGAACAGCCAAGTTTTCAGATTCTTTCTGAAGACTGCCAATGTAGAGGCTTGTCTGAGATCTTTCGGGAGGGCGTTCCAGAGTCGGGGGGCCACCACAGAAAAGGCCCTGTCTCGCGTCCCCACCAAGCGCACTTGCGACGCGGGCGGGATCACGAGCAGGGCCTCTCCAGATGACTGAAGTGAGCGTGTGGGTTCGTAGACAGTGATACGGTCACGCAGGTAGGGTGGTCCCAAACCGTTCAGGGCTTTGTAGGATTTTGAGGATTCCACTTTGTAGCCCCATTTCTGAAGGTTGGCTCTGCGTCTCGTGGTGCCAGAGCGCAGTGTGTTCAGCGCCTTCCAAGTCGCCCAGTCTTCTGTGTGCCCAGGGGGGAGTCTCTCATTTTGTATCAGCCATTGGTTGAGGTTCTGGGTTTGAGCCTGCCACTTTTGGACTCTCGCTTGCTGAGGTGTTCCAGCGAGTGTCTCTGTAGATGTTAGAAAACTATTTCTAGATTTAAGTCGTTGACGTGCTGGCTGATACCCAAACGGGATGAGCTGGAGACATGTAATATTACTAATAATAGGATATTGGAATAGTGCAAAATAGGAATGTATGTTACTAATAATGCTAATAATATAATATATTGTATTTACATATAACTTGTAAGCCGGTCTGAGTCCACTTTAGGGTGAGAAGGGCGGCATATAAATGTTGTAAACAAATAAATAAATGCTTCTAAAACTAGATGTCATCTTTTCCAAAGAGAAAGCTGACTGGGATGTCAATCATTCTATAAGGGGCGGGGCGATGTCAAGAAAGGTGATAGGGAAGGGGCGGGGCCAACACCCAGAAGTTCCAAAGAGTGGGCGGGGCCACTTTGGGTGAGAGAGAGAGAGACGCTTGAGTTTCATTCTGTCCAATGACCGCGCTCAATTTTGGTCACGTGAAAAAGTTCCCTCCGTTTCGACCAATGAGCATTCGGCAATGGGATCAGACTATGGAACAGCGATTGATTTCAGCCAATCAGAGCGCAGATGCCCTCGCTTAGCCTCCATTCCCTCAGGGAAGTGGGAAGACCAAACGACGGCCAGTGGGGGAAGAAAAGAGGAGGGAGCTTCCAAGGCAACCAATGAGAAATCTAAGAAATGAGAGTGACGTGTCTGGCGACCAATGAACAGTGTTTTTCCCCCCCGCACTCGATGAATCAGAAAACGAGTTGCTGCTGACGCCATGTTGCCCCTGGTCATGTGATGCGTTTCGTAGAGAAGGAAGCGTCAGTGGTCACGTGACGGGAGTAGGTGGGGAGGGAAGCGCGAGGGGAGGAGTGGTACGGAAGCCGAGAAGGGACGCGCTGGAGCGGAGCCGAGGCGGTTGCGGCCACACGAGCAGCGGCAGCGATGGCTGCGGACGGCGAGCGCTCCCCGCTGCTGCCGGCTGAGCCCGGGGATGGGAACGGCGGCGTCGGGGGCCTGGTGGGGCCTGCCGGGCTGCCCTCGGGCAACGCCTCCTCCAACCCGCCGGGGAAGCCCAATCCCCCTCAGGGTGAGCCACGCCCCCTCATGAATATGCATGAGAGGCAGCTGCGGTGGGAGGGAGGGTCCGATAGGAGAGCATCCTGAGGACTCACTGGCTGAGGGTACCAGGGGGGCGGGGCTTGGGCGGAGGGGCGGGGCTACACACAATGTGGGCGGGGTTATAGCCCCTGTGGGCGGTGCCATGACCCAAGATGTAGTGCCTCTATCCCAGCTTGGGGAGAGGATGTAGCTTGATGGGTTGTTGTAGGTTTTTTCGGGCTATAGGGCCATGTTCTAGAGGCATTCTCTCTTGACATTTCGCCTGCATCTATGGCAAGCATCCTCAGAGGTAGTGAGGTCTGTTGGAACTAGGACAATGGGTTTATATATCTGTGGAATGACCAGGGTGAGACAAAGGACTCTTGTCTGCTAGAGCTAGGTATTAATGTTTCAATGTGCTTCCCTACAAATCCCTAAACGGTTTGGGACCATCCTACCTGCGTGACCGTAGCACCGTTTATGAACCTACGTGCTCACTTCGTTCATCCAGAGAGGCCCTGCTCGTGATTCTGCCAGCGTCACAGGTGGGGACGCGAGACGGGGCCTTTTCTGTGGTGACCCCCCAACTCTGGAACACCCTCCCCAAAGATCTTAGACAGGCCCCTACATTGGCAGTCTTCAGAAAAAACTTGAAGACCTGGCTGTTCCGATGTGCCATTCCAGAATAGGAAAACCCAATACCAAGTCCCAGAAACACTTTATTAGAACTAAGATTACTGCACATCGCACACTGCACTTACCATATAATCCTTACATATCACCTGTCACATCAGCACTTTTAATCCTGTACTCTGGCCCGGCCCAGTTTTATTGTGTCTTGATGTATCGTTTATTGCTTGTTGCTTAATATTGCTTTAACTGTTTTTAATTTGCTTTAGGTGTTGTATTGTTATGTTGTGTTTTGAGGCCTTGGCCTTTGTAAGCCGCATCGAGTCCTTCAGGAGATGCTAGCGGGGTATAAATAAAGTTAATAATAATAATAATAACTGACCACCTTGATTAGCATATAATGGCCTGACAGTGCCTCAAGCAAACTTTTGTTTAGAGGTGATTAGATGTCCTTGTTTGTTTCCTCTCTGTTGTTGTGCTGTTGCAATTTTAGAGTTTTTTTAATACTGGTAGCCAGATTTTGTTCATTTTCATGGTTTCCTCCTTTCTGTTGAAATTGTCCACATGCTTGTGTATTTCAATGGCTTCTCTGTGTAGTCTGACATGGTGGTTGTGAGAGTGGTCCAGCATTTCTGTGTTCTCAAATAATATGCTGTGTCCAGGTTGGTTCATCAGGTGCTCTGCTATGGCTGATTTCTCTGGTTGAAGTAGTCTGCAGTGCCTTTCATGTTCCTTTTACAACAGCACAACAACAGAGAGGAAACAAACAAGTATAATTATAGTTATAATTATATATTTACATTACATGTAATATTACTAATATTACAATATAATGGTATAGTGCAATATAGTAATATATACTGATATTGTACTATGCTAATACTATAATATATTGTATGAAAATATATATTGTAAGCCGCTCTGAGTCCCCTTCGGGGTGAGAAGGGCGGCATATAAATGCCATAAATAAATAAATAAATAAATAAATACATCTAATCACCTCTCAACAAAAGTTTGCTTGAGGCACTGTCAGTCCATTATATGCTAGTGGGGGTGGTCAGTTGAAACATTCACACCTAGCTCCAGCAGACAAGAGTGCTTTGTCTCTCCCCCCCCCCCCCCCCCCCCCCCCCCGGTCATTCCACAGATATATAAACCCTTTTTCCTAGTTCCAACAGACCTCACTACCTCTGAGGATGCTTGCCATAGATGCAGGCGAAACGTCAGGAAAGAATGCCTTTAGAACATGGCCATATAGCCTAAAAAAACCTACAACAACCCAGTGATTCTGGCCATGAAAGCCTTCGACAATACATTGTAGCTTGATGGTTAATTTGTCAAATTACTATTCTTCTCCGGTTACAGTTGCATTTAGGAAAGCGTCTAAAGCATCTATGCTAAAATAATAATAATAATAATAATAATAAACTTTATAACCCACTATCTTAAGCTGCTGAGAGGGAAAAAGAAAGGGCCTGAGGTTGTTAGGAATGGTGGGAGTTGGAGTCCAAAACACCTTGAAGGCCCAAATTTACCCATGCCTGGACTACACAGACTTGAGGATACCTCTGTGTAATGTCAGCTAAATTCATATGCATGTCATGACAGTATGTTCCCAAATATGGACAGTTGGATTTGCTGTGTTATTATTATTATCATCATCATTTATTTATTTATTTATTTGACTTGTATACTGCTACTCCCAGTTTGGCTCGGAGCGGATTACAGAAACAAATTAAAACAATACAATTGGCTTTAAAAATAACCAAAACAATAACAATAAGCAGCGAGAACAGACATAGCCCGGGTTGTTCACCCATCAAAAGCTTGCCGGAAAAGAAAGGTTTTACAGGCTTTCCGAAAAGCAAGTAGGTCATCTCACTTTAAGGCTCAAGTCAGGGTACAACAGAGGTGTAGATGCACCCTAGAGCATGTAATTCGGCAGCTCGAATTTGGTAGTATTCCATGTATGGGTTTTGCTAGAAGTCTTTCGGACTGAAGGGAAGTATATAAGCATTATAGATAAAATAAATATTACTATCTTTATTTATATCCCACTTTATACGAAGGGGATTTAAAGCGGCGTATCATAAAAGCACCATTTAATATTATACAAATATATGAACATTAAAACAGGATTAAATATAAATAGTATTTTAAAATTCCCAGTTAAAAATCATTAACACACATTCAGAGTTAAAAACTACAGCACCCACCCTTGACTTGGCCATAATTATAATGATGATAATAATAATAATAATAATAATAATAATAATAATAATAACACTTTATTTGTACCCCGCTACCATCTCCCCAAGGGACTTGGTGCAGCTTACATGAGGCCGAGCCCGAACACAATACAAGCAATAATCACAACAATACAAGTAATTAAGATAAAAACATAAACAGTAAACATATAACATCATCAATAAGACAACATACAATTAAAAACAGTGGGAAGGCCAAATGTAAAATTAAAGTTGGAAATAGTGCTGAACATGGACGAAAAGGTGATAGTAGCGTTTGTGGAAAGACATACAAGCAGACCTAAAAAATGTAAAGTGCTTAGAGGGACAAAGTACTACGGGATCATTAATCCGGGAAGGCACACTGGAACAACCACATCTTCAAGCTCCTCCTGAAAACCGCCAGGGTAGGGGCTTGCCTAATGTCCTTAGGGAGTGAGTTCCATAAGAACCTTCATCTTTAAACGCCTGCCTAAATAAAAAGGTTTTAGCCTGCCGCTGGAAGGATAGCTAGGAAGGGGCTGTTCTGGCTTCCCTGGGAAGAAGGAAGCTCTAGACTCAAGGGGCAGCCACTGAAAAGGCTGGCCCTCTCTCTCGTCTCCATCAGCTGAGCTCGGACAGAGGTGGTGGGACAGAGAGAAGGACCTCTCCTGAAGATCTCAGGACCCAGGCAGGTTCATACAAGGGGATGCTGTCAGCCAAATAGCCTGGACTTGTACCGTCTAGGGCTTTAGAGGTCTTAACCAGCATTTTGCATTGTGCCCGGAAACAGACTAGCAGCCAGTGGAGCTGCTGTAACAAGGGTGTTGTCTGCTTCCATTTTATATATGTAGTTATGATTTCTATAATTTCTCCCATCCATCATTAGCAGAAACAATGGTGCTCAGATGCCATGTTGGTGTTGTGTGCTTCCCAGTGATTTCCAACTCATGGCAACCCTATCATGGTGTTGTGGTCCAAAAAAAAAAACTTCCTTTAAAGTTCAGTTCTGGGAGAAATAGAAACCACCCTATGAAAACACCCAAAATTGTAGTCCATGCAAGAGGCAATAATATATTGATTAACATTAGTAAATTGCAGTATAGTTTGGATTGAATAGGAAACTGTTTTTAAAAGGCTTCCTTGAAGCTTTAGATCAGTGGTTCCCAACCTGTGGTCCGTGGCCCACCAGTGGTCCGCAAGAACTAAGATATGGTCCACATCCTCACTGTTACTACACTGTTGCAGCAAGAGTGACTGGTCTCGTGAAACTCTCTTATAGTGCCAAAGCTTATTAAATATGGTTTTCTGTGGGCGAGCCGATGGCAACTACTGGGTGGCATATGTTCTGTATCAGAAACTACAGCTGATGTGGTCTATCCAAGCACCCCAAATAACCAAACTCAATCTAAAGTTGACCATAAACTGATTCGTAACCCTTTTGGTACTAATGTTGGAGAGTGGTCACTGGTCAAAGAAAAGGTTGGAAACCACTGCTTTAGATATACACTGTAGAGGGAGCGGGCTGGGGTTAGTGTGACTGACAATTATCTAGTCTTTATGGAAGCAAATCAGAGGACAAAAAGGGATTGTGGAAGTAACTGCACGGATTAAAATGCAGCGGTGCAAAGTAGAAGAAAGATAAAGTGCAGAATTGGGGCAAGGTGCAAAAAATGTGTCAGATTTAGGTGTGTCTGTAGATACTAACATTAACCCTGTCCTGAATTTGTGTTGCATTCCCCGCCACCACCAGTTTAAAGGGGTTTTTTTCCCTTCAAAATACTGCATCCTGCGCACTTAATAGGTTCAGCACTCTGGACAGCTCCATTAAACTGTGGAATAAGTCAAAGTGGATTGGTTGTATGACTGATCATGAAGGTGCGGTTGCTCTCAGCCAATGCTCCTTTTCCTGACTTTATCTCTTGCAAAGGATTTCCTTCCTTTGGCGGCATCAATGATGGGGGCCAAGCAGCCGTTCTGCCCGGAGAGGACCCTCCACCCTATTCCCCAATGGCTTCTCCAGAGAGCGGCAGCGCTCCCATGATCACCTGCCGGGTCTGCCAGAGCCCCATCAACGTGGAGGGCAAAATGCATCAGCATGTGGTGAAATGTAGCGTCTGCAACGAGGCCACGGTGCGTAGCCTTGGAGGGGCAGGGTGTGGGCAAATTATGGGCGATGAGATCGGAAGGCTTTGCAAAAACTTGATATATAGTAGTAACATTGAGGATGAATGGTGTACCAGGAAGTGTGAGGTTTAAGCCACTTCTCATCTCTGAAACATGAGTACCCAGAGGTATGCTTCTATCTGCTATGTTCAATATAATTTCCCCAAATAGCAAAATTGTGACACAGAATGCTAGGTTACATACACTCTCACAGAGGAAATGGTGGCTTGTGTTCTTAAATTTCATCCCAAGTAGTTTTTTTAAGTAGATGGAGTAACACTGGTGAGACCAGAAATTGGATGCAAGCCTGTGGAGAGGATGTAGCTTGATGGTCAATTTGTCAAATTACTATGCATTTCCAGTTACAGTTGCATTTGGGAAAGCATCTAAAGTTCTAGAAAGTAATTATCAATCCATGTAAACAAGGGCTAGGGATACCATCAGTTTCAATCTCATCGTCAACAAGGATGAGGGGTGTTATAATTCCACAATATCTAGTGGGTAACAAAGCCATCACCAGCATCCCACAGCAGATATTGAGTTAGATGGAGTCTTTAAGGCAGTGGTTCTCAACCTGGGTCCCCAGATGTTTTTGGCCTACAACTCCCAGAAATCCCAGCCAGTTTATTTATTTATTTATTTATTTATTTACTCTATTTGTATACCGCATATATCAGCCTGAGGCGGCGACTCAATGCGGTTTACAATAAAAAGCAACACTAAACAATGTATGAGACACACAATACAGACAAACACATAATCATCAACGCCACACTTAGAATCAGATTCCGATCTCAAGATCCTTTTTCCATTCCTTGTCCGATGCCGTCATTATTGAGTTAGTTGCCAAAAGCCTGCTCGTAGAGCCACGTCTTCACCCTCCTCCGAAACACCAGTAACGAAGGGGCCTGCCTGATGTCCACCGGTAACGCATTCCATAGCCGAGGGGCCACCACCGAGAAGGCCCTGTCTCTCGTGCCCGCCAGCCGCACTTGTGACGCCGGCGGAACCGAGAGCAGGGCCTCCCCGGAAGATCTTAACGCTCTTCCCGGTTCGTAGGAGGAGATGCGTTCGGAGAGGTAAGTGGGGCCGGAACCGTGTAGGGCTTTATAGGCTAAAGCCAGCACCTTAAATTGTGCCCGGTAGCGAATTGGCAGCCAGTGGAGCTGGCTCAACAGGGGGGTGGTGTGCTCCCTGAGTGCCGCTCCCGTTAGCAACCTGGCTGCCGAGCGCTGGACCATCTGAAGCTTCCGGGCAGTCTTCAAGGGCAACCCCACGTAGAGCGCGTTGCAGTAATCTATACGGGATGTGACAAGAGCGTGGACTACCGTGGCCAAGTCCGACCTCCCAAGATACGGGCGCAGCTGGCGCACAAGCCGAAGCTGTGCAAATGCTCCTCTGGAAACCGCCGAGACTTGGGGTTCCAAGCTTAGCGAAGAATCCAGAGTCACACCCAAGCTGCGAACCTGCGTCTTCAGGGGGAGTGCGACCCCGTCCAACACAGGCTGTAACCCTATACCCTGTTCGGCCTTTCGACTGACTAGGAGTACCTCTGTCTTGTCTGGATTGAGTTTCAATTTGTTCCCCCTCATCCAGTCCGACACAGCAGCCAAGCACCGGTTCAGGACCTGGACAGCCTCCTTAGTAGTAGGTGGAAAGGAGTGACAGAGCTGGACGTCATCTGCGTACAGATAACACCTCACCCCGAAACTCCGGATGATCTCTCCCAACGGCTTCATGTAGATGTTAAACAGCATGGGGGACAGAATTGAACCCTGCGGGACCCCACAAATCAATGGTTGTGAGGACGAGCAGGTGTCCCCCAGCAACACCTTCTGGGTACGATCCTCTAGGAAGGACCTGAGCCACTGTAAAACAGTGCCTCCCAGGCCCATTCCCGCAAGGCGTCCCAGAAGGATACCGTGGTCGACGGTATCGAAGGCCGCTGAGAGGTCCAGCAGAACCAACAGGGACACACTCCCCCTGTCTAGCTCCCGGCGAAGATCATCCACTAAGGCGACCAAGGCTGTCTCGGTACCATGCCCCGGCCTAAAGCCAGACTGTGCCGGATCCAGATAATCCGTGTCTACCAAGAATGCTTGGAGTTGTGAGGCCACCACACGTTCCAGGACTTTGCCCAAAAAGGGGAGATTGGAAACAGGCCGATAGTTGACGAATTGAGTGGGGTCCAGTGATGGTTTCTTCAACAGCGGTTTTATAACAGCTTGCTTTAAGCTGGCTGGAATTTTGCCTTCCCGAAGGGAGGCATTAACCACCACCTTCACCCACTCGGCCAATCCCCCTCTGGCCTCCTTAAGAAGCCAGGATGGGCAGGGGTCTAGGATGCATGTGGTTGCTCTCATCCCTCCAAGCACCTCGTCCACATCCTCAGGTTTCACAAATTGAAACGAATCCATCAAAACCGGACAGACAGATGTTCTCGTCACATCCTCAGAGACTGCCGTTAACATGGTATCCAGACCTGAACGGATCGAAGCGACTTTGTCCGCGAAGAACCGAGCAAATGCTTCACAGCGGGCTGTCGAGTTGTCAGGGCTCCCATCCAAAGTGGTGGGCTTCAACAGGCCTCTGACAACTCGGAACAGCTCGGCCGGACGGTTCTTTGCGGACGCAATATTGGCCGCAAAGAAAGATTTCTTTGCCGCCTTTATTGCCACGGCATATGCCCTTAATAGGGCAACAAACCGTGCTCGGTTTGACTCGCTCGGGTCCGAACGCCACAGTTTACCAGCTGTTAGGATTTCTGGGAGTTGAAGGCCAAAAACATCTATGGATCCCAGGTTGAAAACCACTGCTTTAAGGTTTTACAGTATAAAGCAGCTTCTGGAAGAGTGCTTAAGAGTCATTTGTTTATCCTTTACTCCTAAAAGGATTGTATAGCATTGTTGCTATTGTGTGGTTTTTAACTGGAATTTTTATATTATATATTTTTGTTGTGATGGAGATTGGCTTTGAATTTATTGTTACAGTTTTATGGTTCTGAAAAGGTATTAATTTTATATTGTATTCATATATCTTGGTAGGTCATTATGCTTTGAAGGGGCTTTGCCTAAAACGCAGATTGCATTAACGGTGAATGTACATTTCATTTATTTGCTCGGTTTATGAGAAGAAGCAACCTTGCTTCCTTCTGGGATAAAAAAGTAATGTGTTTTTTTTTCTTCTCTCCCTCAAGAGAATTTGGGTCATATAGTGAAACTGATTGGCAGGAGATTCAGATAAGAACAAAAGGAAATACTCCACATTGCACCCAGTTTAGTGGGAGTTGTTTACTTACTTTTTGTTGTTCATTCGTTCAGTCGTCTCCGACTCTTCGTGACCTCATGGATCAGCCCACGCCAGAGCTCCCTGTCGGCCGTTACCACCCCCAGCTCCCTCAAGGTCAGTCCAGTCACTTCAAGGATGCCATCCATCCATCTTGCCCTTGGTCGGCCCCTCTTCCTTTTGCCTTCCACTTTCCCCCGCATAATTGTCTTCTCTAGGCTTTCCTGTCTCCTCATGATGTGGCCAAAGTACTTCAACTTTGTCTCTAGTATCCTTCCCTCCAATGAGCAGTCGGGCTTTATTTCCTGGAGGATGGACTGGTTGGATCTTCTCGCAGTCCAAGGCACTCTCAGCACTTTCCTCCAACACCACAGCTCAAAAGCATCGATCTTCCTTCGCTCAGCCTTCCCTAAGGTCCATCTCTCACATCCGTAGGTGACTACAGGGAATACCATGGCTTTGACTAGGCGGATCTTTGTTGCCAGTCTGATGTCTCTACTCTTCACTATTTTATCGAGACTGGACATTGCTCTCCTCCCAAGAAGTAAGCGTCTTCTGATTTCCTGGCTACAGTCTGCATCTGCAGTAATCTTTGCACCTAGAAATACAAAGTCTGTCACGGCCTCCACGGTTTCTCCCTCTATTTTCCAGTTGTCAATCATTCTTGTTGCCATAATCTTGGTTTTTTTTGACGTTTAGCTGCAACCCGGCTTTTGCGCTTTCTTCTTTCACCTTGATTAGAAGGCTCCTCAGCTCCTCCTCGCTTTCGGCCATCAGAGTGGTGTCATCTGCATAGCTGAGGTTGTTAATGTTTCTTCCAGCAATTTTCACCCCAGCTTTGCATTCATCAAGCCCCGCACATCGCATGATGTGTTCTGCATACAAGTTAAAAGGTTGGGTGAGAGTATGCAGCCTTGCCGTACGCCTTTCCCAATCTTGAACCAGTCTGTTGTTCCGTGGTCAGTTCTGACTGTTGCTACTTGGTCCTTGTACAGATTCCTCAGGAGAGAGACAAGGTGGCTTGGTATGCCCATCCCACCAAGAACTTGCCATAATTTATTATGATCCACACAGTCAAAGGCTTTAGAATAGTCAATGAAGCAGAAATAGATGTTTTTCTGAAACTCCCTGCTCTTTCTCCATTATCCAGCGGATATTGGCAATCTGGTCTCTCGTTCCTCTGCCTTTTCTAAACCCAGCTTGAACATCTGGCAACTCTCGCTCCATGTATTGCTGGAGTCTTCCTTGCAGGATCTTGAGCATTACCTGACTGGCATGAGAAATAAGGGCCACTGTACGGAAGTTTGAGCAGTCTTTCGCATTTCCCTTTTTTGGTATGGGGATATAAGTTGATTTTTTCCAGTCTGATGGCCATTCTTGTGTTTTCCATATTTGCTGGCAAATGGCATGCATCACCTTGACAGCATCATCTTTTAAGATTTTAAACAGTTCAGCTGGGATCCCGTCGTCTCCTGCTGCCTTGTTGTTAGCAATGCTTCTTAAGGCCCATTCAACCTCACTCCTCAGAATGTCTGGTTCTAATTCATTCACCACACTGTCATAACTATCCTCAATATTATTATCCTTCCTATACAGATCTTCTACTGTTTACTTACTAGTTGGGTTTAAAATGAAATTAGCCAAGTCCTTGGAGGGTAAAGAGTTGTGATGGCTTTATGGGACCTTTTGGTTCAGAAGCAGTATGACTCTTATCTTGAGTTTCTGAGGGGGGAAAAGTGAGGCAGCCTCTCCCATATTTGTGACCTTCTGAAAGGCATCTGATGTTCAGTTCTGAGCTAGACACTAGATGGACCACTTTCCAAATCCAGTGGGGATTTTACATGCTTCCAATTCAATGGGGATTCTGAATGCTTTCCAGAAACCTTATAAGTAGGAAACAAGTTTGGCTTATCACTCCTATTTAGCATGAGTGATGGTCAGGGAGTGTGAAAGAGGAAGTCTAAAACATCTTGAGGGCCAAAGGTTCTCATCCTTCTATTGAGTTGGTTGTTATTATGCCTCATTTGCAAGATAGAAGTATTTTGGGGATAGTTTACATCTCTGACCTCACTTGCCCCCTTTGTCCCCTATATATATATTACATTGGAAGGTTCACATTCCTTACTGGTCACAATCTCTGTGAGCCATCATACTGCTTTGTCATAACAGAAACAATTGTAATGCCCTCTGGTTATTTTGGACTCATCTTCCCATCAGCTTCTATTTCCATGGTCAGGGGTGATAGAGGTTGCACTTAGAACTATCCAGATAGCTTTATAGTAGAGACTCCACGCTGCTGAGATAACTTACATGAATCAGTTTGAACAAACTGAAAGAGATTAGTGGGAGCAATTGGATTCTATTAAGTGAGGGATCGTTGAATGTGTCCTCCCTTGTGTTTACTTTCTTGCTCATATTTTTTGCAAGGCTTCTCGACTTTAAAGTCTTCATTTTCCTTAAGAGAAAATTAGAGAAAACATGAACTCTTAAAATAATTATAAATCTCAAAGTGAGGATTGCCAACCCACAGCAGTTTTAGTTCCTTAGTAAGATGACTCCACAGAACTGGTGTGGCGTGTTGCTACTTGGACATGCTCCAGTGTCTGAAATGAAATCTTTGAGGGTGGACTCTTGATGCTTTTTCATTCCCTTTCTGGAACAGGCACCTGAAATGAAGTAAATCCCACCCCCAATGCCTGGATAAGCCTGTCTGGTGCTTCTCACACTGAAAGTGAGGCACCCCTTATTGATGTTAAAAAATAAAGCTGTAGTTAAGAAGGATAGATGATTGAACTTTGGACTTGGAATTATACCTTGGGTTTGCTATGTAGTCAGCATGTTGTGTTGATGGGTCTCCTCCCGCTCTGTCTTGCTCCATGTTGACATTAGCAACATAAATCTATCTCACAGGGCTGTATCAAGACTGATGGAAACTTCAGCCACTTCTTACTCATTCCGCATGTTTTATTTCTTGTGTTTCCTTTCTTCTGCCTGTGGCAGCTTTGATGAATGTCCTTTAAGCAGATATTGCAGCCCTTGTGTATAATGCTTTGCATAGTGATGGTGCTAAAACAAGGCCTTGTTCTCACTAATATCAATGGTGCTGATGCCCTGATTTCTGGAATGTACCATTAAGCTTTTGTTTTGTGGATTGACAGCAGCTTTTTTTGGGTCTTGATCATGGAGTAGTTTTTTCTCCACCAACTGCTATTTTGAAATAGCAAGATTAAGGATTTTACCATAAAGTATGTGCTCTCCCAGTGAGCAGCTGCCATTCTCCAGATTCGGGGTTTGGATCTGGGACCTCTTGGGAAGCTTGCCTCTAAACTTGCCTCTGAAAGGACTTTTCTGCTATTTTGAAATAGCAAGATTAAGGATTTTACCATAAAGTATGTGCTCTCCCAGTGAGCAGCTGCCATTCTCCAGATTCAGGGTTTGGATCTGGGACCTCTTGGGAAGCTTGCCTCTAAACTTGCCTCTGAAAGGACTTTTTGGACTTCTGTTCCCAAATTACTGTGGCCATTCTGGCTGGAAAAGGTGCGAGTCATAATCTTAAAACACCTTTTCCATTCTGCAGGGTCAGTTCTCAGGGATTATTGGAGCAGTAGTCCACATTGGGATGTGTTGCTTATCAGAGACCCAGCTAAAAGTCCGAGGGGGTTATTTGTATGTGTGCCAGACCTGCAGTTTAAACTGGTACAATGGAATAAAGAAATGCTGTATACATCCTAAACATAAAACTCAGCTTAACTGTGAATGCTGGATTTCTGTGTGCTCTATTCTCTGTAACTGTCCGCTGTTCAGAGTATTTTATGCATTACAAGCTGGATGAGTGGTCCTTCCAAGCATTGTTCTCTTTAAAGTCTGTGAAGGTGGTCTTTGGGTATTATTTGCCATTATATTTGTGTTGCATAGTGGAGAGTGGTGAGGATTTGGGGTCAAATTGGTGATTTCTGTCAAGACTATCTGTTAAGACTGCCATTCTTCTCCCAAACACTTCTTGTGTTTTCCTTGATAACACTGGCATTGTGATTCTCATCTGAAATCCTTTTAAGAGACGGGATTAAAACATTCAGCAGGAGGATATAAAATCAACAAAAAATACCATCCTTCTTTGGCCTTTCCAACTTCCTGACTCATCAGTTCATGGATCTGAACTACCATTGCCAAAGGTTTTACAGAAACCACATGCAGGACTTCTAGGTCTCATGTGAGACCTTCCCTTACTATCTCAGAGCCCTTCCACACAGTCCTACATCCCAGAATATCAAGTATGGACTTAGATAACCCAGTTCAAAGCAGATATTGTGGGATTTTCTGCCTTGATATTCTGGGATATAGGGCTGTGTGGAAGGGCCCTCTCTCTTCTGAGCCCATTTATGACCTTTCCTATCCACCACTCCCACTAAAACCTCTTTGCACTGTGGCTTGCTTTTGCTGCGTAGAAGTGATGGAGCTCCTGCAGATTTTGTGCTTGATCTCACACTCGACTCAGTCCTGTTTAAGATTTGAATTTAATCCTGAGCAACAGAAATATCTGTGATCTTCCATGGCCTCACAGCTGCCCAAAGAACCATTTCAGTTTCCACACAGTTCTTCAACCTGTTCTCCCTTTTATTTCATTTTTCCATCTTGATGCTGCCTCTTAAACCAAGATATGTACCCTGGCCTTATCACTTTTGACCTTTGGATTCTGTTTCTTTCTTTCTGTCTGTCTGCTCCAGCCAATAAAAAATGCCCCACCTGGTAAAAAGTACGTGAGGTGCCCCTGCAACTGCCTCTTAATCTGCAAAGTGACGTCGCAGCGCATTGCTTGTCCTCGGACCTACTGGTAAGGGAAGCCTCTGGCTTTGACGTGTTTCAATTCTGCACCGGCTGACTCTGCTGTGTTTATTCACAGCCTAAATGAAAACATTTAAGTATAATTAGCCTGGCGTGTTTATGGCTGTAAAGCTCAGGTGTGTTCCAGTGAGGGTGTGGCGGTTAGCAACGCTAGAAGGTGATTAGCCATCGAGCATGGAATCCAGTGTGAATTTCAAGCTTTTTATTTTTTTCTTTCCAGTTCACACTGGCTATTGAAAGACACAAAATGTATTTTAAAATAGACATAAATATTGAATATCTATTATCTGGAACCCAGTCTGAATTCCAAGGCTTTTTTATTTTCAAAAGAAAGAGCAAAGTCCTATAGTTCACACTGGCTGCTGAAATATATATAATGCATTTAAATATAAAGATACAGGTTGAGCATCCCTTATTAGATATGCTTGGAACTACCTAGTAATCTTTTGGACTTCAGAATTCATTAGAGATTGTTCAGTGCATGTAGGAATTGTAAAAACCCTATAAAACCCCAAATTGAGAGAGAAGAGATTATTATTCAGGAAAAATCAGGGAGCAATGGTGCAGGAATGGTGTGAGATTGGGATTTTTGTCACTAAAAGCAGTAGGCTATATCAGTGGGGTGTGCTACCACGGTGGAACAGTCAGCCCAAAGGGGGTAATTGCTTTTTATCTGAGCAATAAAAGCTAATTGTTACAAAACTCCGAATGGCCTGAGGGAGAACAAAGGAGTAATAATAGATCTGGACTGGGATGTGGCTGATGTGCTCTTTTCCAGGCTGTGATGCTCTGAATAGCAGGGAAAGGCTCACAAGGAGGGTGGGCTGATCTCTTTTGTCTTGTCTTCCCAGCAAAAGAGTCATCAACCTGGGCCCAGTTCATCCTGGTCCTCTGAGTCCTGAGCCCCAACCAGTTGGCGTGCGAGTCAACTGTGGCCACTGCAAAAACAATTTCTTGGTGAGTGGGATTTGGAAATGGGCTGGATGGGGAGACAGAAATGTCTGGGACCTTTCGTTCAGTGCTTTAACGCTTGCTGGTGTTTGGAGAAGAGCTGCTTACAGTGGTTAGCCTCAGCAGAGAGGGGCAAAATGTAGCCCTGGGGCTCTTTTCTGAGGCAGTTTTTATAGCTCTCCACACACCCCAGGCCATGCTTTTTCAGTCTCTGGGACAGTTGGCTTTTCAAGTTGCTGGATCCTTGAACATTGGGCCCTTCCACACAGCCCTATATCCCAGAATATCAGGGCAGAAAATCCCATGTTATCTGAGTGTGAACTCAGATAACCCAGTTCAAAGCAGATATTGTGGGATTTTCTGCTTTGATATTCTGGGATATAGGGCTGTGTAGAAGGGCCCACTGTTTAACATCAGTACAGTTGTACCACCACATTTGCAGTTTTGACTTGTGGATTTAATTATTCACAGATTTTATTAGAAATGTTCTCTCTAGGAATCTCTAGGTCTTCTGAGGGACACTGAGGTCACCTTCCTCCAGTCATGCAAAGGACTTAGAGATTTCTACAGAAAACTCTCTAGGAATCTCTAGGTCCTCCAGTGCGACTCCATTGTCAGCTTCCAGCAGAAGTCACTCATAAAGTTATTTTGAAAGACCTAGAAATTCCTAGGGAGGTATTTTCTCAGGTAAATGGGAAATTCTTTATATGCTTTTTCACTTTTACAGGGGACTTGTGCCCCTAATCCCAGCAAATGTGAAGAGATGACTGTATTTATTTATTTATTTCGCATATTTGTATCCCGTCCTTCTCACCCCCGGAGGTGGACTCAGGGCGACTTCACAACAGGCATTCATTCAATGCCAACAACAGTAATAAATGATAAAAGCAATTAAAACAATTCGGTAATGCTTTAAAATTACTAAAACATTGATTAAATCATGCAGGCTTTAAATCATAGTCCAGGTCAGTCCATTGTCATTCATGCAAATTAGGTCTCATTCTAAATAGCTGCCTCTACTGTTCAAATGCTTGATCCCATAACCAGGTTTTGAGTTTCATTCTAACAGACAAGACGGAGGGGGCCAATCTAATGTCAGTAGATAGAGTGTTCCACAGTACCAATTGTTCAAAAATGGAAGTGGACTTCTCACCCTATTTTGGTTTGCAATTCATGGAGGGTTCAAGGGAAAGAAAAGTTGCCCCTTAAGGTATGTGTTCTGAAATCACCTCCAGATTCCAAATGTGATCTGGCCAGAATGTGAGCTTTGAATCAGAAAAGATACACAATCAATGGCTTTATCTCTTAAGACTCACTCTGACCTCTCACTCATAAACCTTGCAGTGTTTTTATGAACCTAAAGTAGGTGGGGAGGCTACAAACTTTAGTCCAACTTCCTTGAAAAGGCCATGATTGAAGTCCAATTACCAGATGCATTGGCCAGCAAGCTACAGTCAAAGAGTACGATAGTATTTATAGAATTCTTGAAATGGTTGCAAGCTGTGATTATGACCCCTCCCGCCTCTCTGTTTTGGCACATTGGGGAACTTTAGTGATTAGTTGGCAAATAGATATCAGATGAACACCTGATATACTCCTGCCTTGATAGATAGACAAGTTGGGGGTTCAGACACAGGACACTTCCTCCAGGTTGGACTAACCATCCTTTACCTTTCTCTCTCTTGTTCCTCTTCTTCCCTCTAGTGGACAGAATTCACAGACCGCACCTTAGCCCAATGTCCCCACTGCCGGAAAGTGTGAGTTCAATTGCTCTTGCTTAACCAATAAGGTATATGAGGAAATATTTTCTCACTAGCAGCACTGATGTGTTGAAAGAAAAGTCTGAAAAGCTGTTCATGGGCACTCAGTTCTACTGGCTAGATGTTGGGTTTGGGAAGGTGGAAATTGTAGAGATTTTGCTTCTCTAAGAAGAAAAGTACCAGCCCAAAAGGGTGCTTGAAACGGAGAGGAGTGTTCCTGTGAAACAGAAGTCTGATACTTGGCTTGGGCTGGTCAGTGCAGTAACCTCCTGCTGTGTGTTTCCTTGAGAGTTTACACCTGGGACTTAAAAACCAGGAAAACTAATTAGGTTTGTCCTCCTTCCTGCCACCAGCTCCTCCATTGGGCGCCGTTACCCCCGGAAAAGATGTTTTTGCTGCTTCCTGCTGGGTTTGTTAATGGCTGTGACAGCAACAGGACTTGCGGTAAGTTGGGGCAAGAGGATGCGATCCCTGCACAGCCCTTCTTGGTACTTGCAATAGGAATCTGAAGTGAATTGCAACACGTTAACTTCCATCATGAAATGTCTGGAACTAGGACAGGTGTTTTAGATTTTTTGTGCTTCAAATGCCAGAGTCCAATAGTGAAAAATACTGGGAGTTGCAGTCCAAAAAGATTTGGAAAGTCATCTGATTTCAACATGAGGCAGAGGCTTGTTAAAACCATATAAACATGGCTCTGCGTTGGGTTTAAGCATGTGTAGTCTACCAAATATTGCAACTCCCTTCACCTCTTTGCCAATATAGCTTACGGGAAGGGGGGATAATGGAAGCTGCAGTCCAGCAACATCTGTAGGGCATTCAGAGCTTTCTTGTTTTTAATTGGTTAAATTATTACCAAAATCTCTCAGTAGGAATCTTTTGGAAGGTTCCAAAGACAATAAATAGTCAAATGACCAGTGCAAGAGGATCCCTCCAGTGCCCCCAAATTGGAAGAGGATATACCAGGCATGGGCAAACTTCAGCCCTCCAGGAGTTTTGGACTTTTACTCCCACAATTCCTAACAGCCTATGACTGTTAGGAATTGTGGGAGTTGGAAGTCCAAAACATCTGGAGGGCAGAAGTTTGCCCATGCCTGTTCTATAGGCAAGACTTCTACTTCCTCCTTATACTGTAGTCATTCTGGCCATTCTGCCTTAATTTTTTTTTTAGTTTAGAAGAGGAAAGGAATGCAGACCCACAGTGCAATCACCAACCAAGTAATTAAAATGTTTTTAAAGTGGTATTGTAAAACAGAAATAGAACAGTGGGCTGCTAATTTTTTGAGGTACATGAGTCAGGTGTATTTTGAGGGCACACTGACTGTAACTGTGGCTTATGGTAATGGTTATAGCATATGTGCAAAGAGGTATTCGTGGGGATAATGGATCATGACCTTTTAGGATCACTGACCATTGGAGTATATAGATCATGAACTGTTAGGATCACAACTTAATTGGGGTAAGTTTATTTGGTAATAAATGGTCGCTGGGCATGTAGATATTTTGTTTTTGTTTGATGCTTTCAACAGACAATGGTGCAAGCAGACTTCTTTTAAAGATAACAAGTTTGTTTTCTGATAACTTCATGTATTTAAAGATACAGGCACATTTCTTGTCAAGGGTTAAAAACTTCAGTAATGTTTCAGAGAGGTTGTATTTTGAACTTATAATATTTAACAGTTCCTTCATAAATTATGTTGCTTTATACATCTCTCTTTAATAAGAGGTTACTTTCAAATAAAACACAAGCCTCAACAATTTCTAACTTCCTAACATGAGCTTCTGCACTCTGACAGACTTCTATACTCAAGCTCATTCAAGGCACAACACACTTCTCTCACAGTCAATCCTCAACAGATATTCCCTAACTGTTGTCCTGTTTAAACCTGAACATTTTAAAGCAGGCATCCTCAAACTGCGGCCCTCCAGCTGTTTGGACCTTCAACTCCCAGAATTCCTGACAATTGAACAGGCTTGTTAGGGCTTCTGGGAGTTGGAGGCCCAAACAGCTGGAGGACCGCAGTTTGAGGATGCCAGTTCTAAACTGTCACTGAGTCAGTCACATGACCTGCAGCCCCTCCCACTGCTTTAGGTATATATAGATAAGGAAACTGCAAATCAAATGAGACATACTTCAGGTTATAAAACGACAACATAAAATAGACAAACATCATATAAGAAAAGGCTTGAGAAGGTTGATTCCTCTGACACAGTGGTTCTCAACCTGTGGGTCCCCAGGTGTTTTGGCCTACAACTCCCAGAAATCCCAGCCAGTTTACCAGCTATTAGGATTTCTGGGAACTGAAGGCCAAAAACAGCAGGTATGTGCATGTATCTCCTCCCAAGATCACTGCTGTCAATGGAGGGTGGGATAAGTTTGAAAGAACAGCTGTAACTCTTCCTGGCAGCAGAAAATATTCTCAGTCTCCTTACTAGGAGCAAAAGTAAGCCTGGAAATAATTTCTCCTTTGCTTGACTCCCCTTTTTTTGCCTCTCCCTCCCTTTCTAGTTCGGCACGTGGAAGCAAGCCCAGAAGTACAGTGGGATCTATGCCTCCTGGGCTCTGGTGATCCTCCTGGCTTTGGTGTGCCTGGGCCGAGCGATGTACTGGGCCTGCATGCGGGTCAGCCACCCCGTCCAGAACTTCTCCTGAGCGTCTGGGAGCTGCTTTCCATTCCCAGCTGCTGCTGCTGCTGTTGCTGCTGCTCCTCCCAGCATATCATCTGCCAGCCCCACTTGCCCCCTTTCTCTTCTACTTCTTCTCTCCATTGTGGGGCTGGCATCTTCCGTGCTCCTCCTCCCTGCTGTGCCAGCACCCCATTTGGTCATCACAGCTGCTGCTGCAACCTTCACCAGGGAACCATTGGACCTGAAGAAGACGGCAAAAATTGGGGGCTGCCAGCCATTTTCCCTGAACCCCCCTAGGCAACAGAACCCTGCCTGGAGCAATTTCAAGAGGAGTCAACTATGGCTGGATTTTTTGTGGGGGAAATGAAGAAACCGGGGATTTGTTGCTGAGCACCTGCTTCGGATGTTGGAATTGCAAGGGGCTGTGCCAGGACAGAGAGCTAGGTGGGTTGTTAGGATATTTTGGTCAAAACGGCCCAATCCCAAGTGGAAACTATGGAAACCCCAGCAGTAAAGAGCTCCTCAACCACTTGAATTACACTACAGAGATTCAGCAAAGGAGCACATTGTAGAGTCAGCAAGCTGCCCTTTCCTGCTGCTGAAATGTTTCTCGGCTGGGGCAAAATGGTCATGGAGTCGCTGCTGCAAAGACTCATCCCTTGCCCTCTGCTCATGCGCTTTTGACATTTGCCATCCTATAAAGGATGGCTAATATCCTGAGAGCCAAGGCACCTTGAACAGCAAATGGCGAGTTGGAGCCTGAGATGTGGGTGGCAAATGATTCTCCGCTGCTGGTTTTCCTCACCTTGTGGAAGAACTTCAATTACTTTGACGGCCAGTATTGGACGCCCTAGTTTTGGGTGCTCTGGATCCTTCCCTTCCCAAATCTCCTGTCAATCGGTACCACCAAAAGCCAATCCTTGAACCCGTTGTTCTGTGACCAGTCCCAACATCCAAAGGCCTCATGCCAAAAGAACCTTGGGAATTTCACTGGATCTTAACCTTGGGACATTTGAGTTTTCCCTTTACTTCCATCAACCTTTTTAACCCCCCTCCCTCTTTGCACATTCCTTGGTGGTGGACCTTTTTTTCTTAACTTCTAAGAACCAAAACCAAGTGGGAAGGAGGGACCGCCATCTTCTCCATCATGCCACTGATTGTTGCCTCCTTTCAAAAGAGAGACCATTCCCACCATTGCACTGAGACCATCGAACTGAACCCATGTGGTGGGATCGAATTCTTTCCTTTCCTTGCGCATCAGCTGGCTGTGGGCATTCTGTCTGATTTGATACAGGACACTATGCTTTGCGCGCTTTCCTACCAACAATTCCATTGTGGGCTTTGCTCTTCTGCTTAATTTCCCACCTTCATTTCTGTCTTTGAGCTGAAAAAGTCTTCCCCCCCTTCTCTCACCCCTCTTCCTTCACCTTTTCCTCCCTGTTCTCATGATGCCTCCGGGGTTTGAGTTGGCCCTCAGAGACATTTACTTGAAGGTGAATAATATCAACAGAAGTGGGGAAGGAAAGAGACCCCCATCAGAGCCACTAAGAAACATTCGTGTTAGGGAAGTGTTCCAGTCCAGTTTGTGTGCCTGTCCGCCTTGGTGTTTCTGTTAAGCCTCTTTCTAATGACATTCTCACATATCCTCCTGGCTTTTGAGCTTGCCGCCCCAATCTCTTTGCTGTTGCAGCGTGTATATACAAATGATTAATGTGTACATAGAGCTATTTAAAGATCACTCCTCCATGGTGGCTGCTTGCTTGCGTCTTTCCTTCTGCCTGTGTGCCTGCATTTTCTCCTTCCCTTTCTTTCTTTCTCTGTCTCTCACACACTTTCTTCTCCTGACGATGAAATTTATCTGCCACCTCTTCTCTCCACAGCCAAAGGAGGAATGAACAAAATGATTGGATAGTTGTAAATAAAAATAAGAGATTCCATAGACTGATGGGAGTATTTCTGACCAGGGGAGGGTTGATGGTCTCTTTAGCTTTGCTTTCCCTGTGACACTTGCTATAATGTTTGGAAGAGAAGAGCTAGACAGTGGTTCTCAACCTGGAGTCCCCAGATGTTTTTGGCCTTCAACTCCCAGAAATCCCAACAGCTGGTAAACTGGCTGGGATTTCGGGGAATTGTAGGCCAAAAACATCTGGGGACCCCAGGTTGAGAACCACTGAGCTAGAAAAACGTTACGGTCTTCCAGGCCTCCTTTGGTAGCTCAAAAGAGAAAGTCATTGTGCGTTTCCCAGGCTGTATGGCCATGTTCCAGAAGCATTCTCTCCTGACATTTCACCCACATCTATGGCAGTCATCCTAAAGGTATCTCACAACCTCTAAGGATACCTGCCATAGATGTGGATGAAATGTAAGGAGAGAATGCTTCTAGAACTTGGCTATACAGCTTGGAAAACTCACAGCAATCCAGTTTTGGAGAACAAGTCCTATGTGGAGCGGCTTAAAGAGCTGGCCATGTTTAGCCTGCAGAAGAGAAGGCTGAGAGGAGACATGATGGCTTCAAATACAAGAAAGGAGATTCCATCTGAACATGAGGAAGAACTTCCTGACTGTGAGAGCTGTTCAGCAGTGGAACTCTTTGCCCTGGAGTGTGGTGGAGGCTCCTTCTTTGGAAGCTTTTAAACAGAGGCTGGATGACCATCTGTCGGGGGTGCTTTGAAAGCAATATTCCTGCTTCTTGGCAGGGGGTTGGACTGGATGGCCCATGAGGTCTCTTCCAACTCTATGATTCTATGATGGTCATGTGTAAATATGTGAGAGGAAGTCATAGGGTGGATGGTGCAAGCTTGTTTTTTGCTGCCCTGGAGACTAGGACGCGGAACAATGGCTTCAAACTACAGGAAAGGAGATTCCAACTGAACATTAGGAGGAACTGGTGTTACTGCAAGAAGGTCCTCCATTGTGCATGTGGCAGGGCTCAGGTTGCATTGCAGCAGGTAGTCTGTAGTTTGCTGTTCTCCACACTCGCATGTCATGGATTCCACTTTGTAGCCCCATTTCTTGAAGTTGGCTCTGCATCTCGTGGTGCCAGATTGCAGTCTGTTCAGTGCCTTCCAAGTCACCCAGTTTTCTGTGTGCCCTGGGGGGGGGGGGGGGGGGGGGGAGTCTCGTTTGGTATCAGCCAATGATTGAGGTTCAGGGTTTGAGCCTGCCACTTTTGGACTCTCGCTTGCTGAGGCGTTCCAAATAAATAAATAAATAATCTGCCCCTGCTGCTGAGTACACATGCCCAGTGTGGAACACATCTCACCATGTTAAAACAGTGGATGTGGCTCTTAATGAGATGTGCTGCATTATCACAGGATGTCTACACCCCACACCACTGGAGAAATTATACTGTTCAGCCAGTATTGCATGGCCTCATGTAAGCCGCACCTAGTCCCTTGGGGAGATAGTAGCGGGGTACAAATAAAGATGATGATTATTAATATTATTGCACCAGACATCCGCTGGGAAGTAGCAACCAGTAATGAAAGGACCAAGACAATGACATCTCCGGCCCATCCCGTTTGGATATCAGCCAGCATGTCAATGCCATAAATCAATAGTTTTCTAAGATCTACAGAGATACTCGCAAGACAACCTCAGCAAGCGAGAGTCCAAAAGTGGCAGGCTAAAACCCAGAACCTCAAGCCATGGCTCATACTGAACGGGAGACTTCCCCTGGGCACACAGAAGACTGGGCAACTCGAAAGGCGCTGAACAGACTGCACTCTGGCACCACTAACATTAAGAGCCAACATTTAAGAAATTGGGCCACAAAGTGGAGTGTGGAGAAGAGCCAACCACAGACCACCTATGACAATGCAGTCCGAGCCCTGCCACATGCACAATGGAAGGCCTTCTTATAGGAACACCAGAGGCACTCCAAGTGGCCAGCTCCTGGTCAAAGGACATTTAGTAGAATGCCAAGGTTTTTTTTAACTTTGTGTTTTCAAATGCATTGCAACTGTACCTGCAGTTTGCTTCTGATATGATAAATAATTCAATTTACTGCAAGAACCCTATGAGACAATTTTCACAATGAAGTAACTTGAAGAAACAAAACAGGACAGCTGTTTCATTGATACCATACGAAATGAAAGTTTAATGCTTTTTCTGAGAGGTTATGCTGTTACCTTGAAGCATTACAACCTTCAGGAAAGGAAAGTATTAAAGAGAAAATAGTTACTTGAGGAAGAATGGGGCATGGAAGAGGACGGAAACCAAGAGAGTTCACAGTACTAGGCTGAAAAGACAGAGCATCAACTTTTTCCTGCTAGTCACTTAAGCCCTTTTGGGAAATTATCAGCAAGCAATTACCAAACGATGAGCCACTACCTAAACAACTGGATGTAGAAACAATATGGCTATTCTCCTTTGCTCCATTCTCACCGTGATTTCTGTACCAGTGCTTGCTATAATTGAGGAAAGGGGAAAGTGGGCAAAAAAACCTTAGCAAGAAACCTTATTCTGTACATCATTCTGATTGCTTAGAACAGGCCTTGAAAAGTTTCAAGGGAAGGGTCAACTTCCATCTCAGGAGTATGTTAACTTTACTGGAATCATCTCTAGGTTTTGTCAACTAGGGAGAAAAAGATCAGAAATTCTACCATACAGGTGTGGATACAACAAATCACATTCTCGCACACTATCTTACACACCTCAAGTTTCCTACGGTTGTCTCCATCACTTTCAAGCTCTAATGTTACGCTGGCAGTGTAATAACCACAGTCCATCCCGCTTCACACAGCTATATACAAGGTGATGGGACAGTGGTCGCTCCCCAGGGCAGTGGAACGGATCTTGCTGTCGCAGATACCCTCCTGCAGGTCTTTGGAGACAACGAAGTAGTCGAGACGCCAGCCCACGTTCTTGGACCGGGCGTTCATCATGTAGGTCCAGAAGGTGTAGGCGTAGGCCGTGTCGGGGTACAGGTGCCGGAATGTGTCGACGAAGCCTTCCTCCAGCAGCTTGGTGAAGCCGGACCGCTCCTCGGGAGTGAAGCCGGCATTCTTCTTGTTGCCCTTGGGGTTCTTCAGGTCGATTTCTTCATGGGCCACATTGAGATCTCCGCACAAGATGAGGGGCTTGCGAGCAGCCAGGCCTTTCAGGTAGGAGCGGAAAGCCACGTCCCAGCTCTGGCGGTATTCCAGGCGCACCAGGCCCCGGCCGGCGTTCGGCACATAGGACGTCACCAAGAAATAGGAGGGGAACTCGGCCGTGATCACTCGGCCTTCCTTGTCATGTTCCTCCTCACCTGTAGTGGGGAAGCCAACAAAATGGAAACCGGTATTGGCCATATTGGTCAAGAGGAAAAGTAAGGTAAGTGTGCCTCCCCCAATCATCACCATCTGCTTCCCCCCACAATTTTGCAATGCACACATAAAATTACTTTAAACTCAAGAGATGCTTAGTTAAGTCTTAACAAAGTGTTTCCTGCTGGGAAAATGTACAGCTGGCTCTCAGTAAACTGACACACACCATGAGGATTGTTAGATGCTGGATAAATCTAGCTTTTTGTTGCTTGAGAGTTATTAATATTTTTGTCTTTAGTGTGATTTAGCAGATTTTTTTTGTATTTTATGATGCTTTCAGTTGTTATTATCCCTGTTAAGTCTAATTAGGTTGTGTTATATTGTCGACTGTGTTTATCTTTATGTAATTGTCAGTATAGTTTCTTTCCGACAATTGAATGCTTGCCTTACATGTTGGAAACCGCCCTGAGTCCCTTTGAGGAGATAGGGTGGTATAAAAATAAAGTTTTTTTACTATTATTATTATTATTATTATTATATTTTTAAAAGGCCTAAACTAATACTATACCATAAACTCTTTAATTAATTAATCATTAATATTAATATTGAAATACAGTAATTAAAAGCAAATTTAAAACAATGACAAACTTAACAGTTTTACTATTTTAAAACATTTTATTTCTTCAATTCTAAAATTACTTTTCCCCTTTATTCTTTGATAGTTTTTTTGCCGAATGCTTGAGAGTTCCAATTAACTCAGAGTTTACCATAACTCCTGCCCTAAAATGGCTATTGGCGAAATATAGCATATTTTGGTTATAAGGGCATTTGTGGGGTAATTTTTTTTTCAAAAATACAGAGTTGTCACAGCAACAACTACAGCCTTCCATGGTTTCATGCAGGACTAATGCATTCTCTCCATCTGTGCCAGAAGCCCATCCCCAGCCAAACACAAGAGAGATTTAAAGGAGGCTGGAATATCAGTGCCTTCATCAGAAGAGGAGTGTGACGGATGGAAAAATCTATCTTTTTTGTAGGAAAGTCTAGCCAGGTAAGCTAAAGGAACAATTGCTAGCCCAGGAGCATAAGTAAAGGTAAAGGTTTCCCCTGACATTAAATCTAGTCGTGTCCAACTCTGGAGAGTGGTACTCATCTCAGTTTCTAAGCCAAAGAGCCAGCATTGTCCATAGACACCTCCAAGGTCATGTGCCCAGCATGACTGGATGAAGTGCCATAGCCTTCCCTATTGATCTACTCATATTTGCATGTTTTCAAACTGCTAGGTTGCCAGAAGCTGGGCCTAACAGCAGGAGCTCATCCCGCTCCCCGGATTCAAACCGCCAACCTTGCAATCAGCAAGTTCAGCAGCTCAGCGGTTTAATCCACTGCACCACCATGGGGCCCTAGCCCAGAAGCATAGAAGGCAGCAAGTTTGGAAAGGCAGAATTCGGGATTACAACTCCCAGGAATTAACCCTCCAGAATGTGAATTTTGGGAGTTGCCCGCCAAAAAATAATGCATGCAATTCTGGGCACCATAATTCAAGAGAGATATTGACAAGCTGGAATGTGTCCAGAGGAGGGCGACTAAAATGATCAAGGGTCTGGAGAACAAGCCCTATGAGGAGTGGCTTAAGGAGCTGGGCATGTTTAGCCTGAAGAAGAGAAGGCTGAGAGGAGATATGATAGCCATGTATAAATATGTGAGAGGAAGCCACAGAGAGGAGGGAGCAAGTTTGTTTTCTGCTTCCTTGGAGACTAGGACGCGGAACAATGGCTTCAAACTACAAGAGAGGAGATTCCACCTGAACATGAGGAAGAACTTCCTGACTGTGAGAGCCGTTCAGCAGTGGAACTCTCTGCCCCGGAGTGTGGTGGAGGCTCCTTCTTTGGAAGCTTTTAAACAGAGGCTGGATGGCCATCTGTCAGGGGTGATTTGAATGCAATATTCCTGCTTCTTGGCAGGGGGTTGGACTGGATGGCCCATGAGGTCTCTTCCAACTCTTTGATTCTATGATTCTAATGGTGCATAACATTAATATACAACACCATAAGACCATCAGTTTCAAAGAAAAGGGGAAAGCATAAGGAAAAGAGCAGGAAGGTACCAGATTCCATCTAGTCTTGGAAACTATGTAGGTTCAGGCTTGGGACGAGGGACCATTAATAAACACCAGGTGCAGAAGGCTCTATTTCAGTGAAGAAACCTTATGGTATTCATGAGGTCATCATAAGTTGACAGGTGACTTTAAGGAATACATACCAATTGGACACAAAGGTTTCCTATGTCCTCACCAATTCCATACTTGACCTCAAGAGGCTTGACTTTGGAGAGTAAAGCCACGCCACTGTAGCCTTCCTTGTCATCGGAGCAGGCCCAGTACTTGTGGGGATATTCGGCCAGATCCCGGATATCGGCCGGCAGCTGCTTCTCTGCACACTTGGTCTCCTGTAGGCAAAGGATGTCTGGGTCCTCCTCGCAAACCCACTGTGGAACAAGAACATCTTCAGGCCAGGGTCTCCTGACTTACATCTCACAAAAAGGAGAACAATACAATACAAAGATTGGGGTGTGCAGGACTGATTTCCCCAGGAGAAGCATACTTGGGCCACCTTATATAATAGGACTTCAATATCCATGGATTTTGATATCTACCAGAGTTTGAAGCAAGCTCTCTAGCCTTGTAGATGATGCTGGAATGCAGCTCTCAGCAGCCCCAGCCCAATGTGAGAAATCATGGGAGTTGTAGCCATAACAAATCTGGAGGATCACAGTGGCCTATTTCTTGGAGAGCAGCACCTTTGACACAATCTGAGAGAAAAAAGCTGGTAGCATAAGCTTTTACAGACTTAAGCCCTACTTCATCAGATGCACGAGTGTCTGTCTACCAATAAGCTTCTGACATAAGCCTCTGTTACTTAAGTCTACGAAAGCTTATGCAACTTCTTTCTCAGCCTCAAAGGTGCTATAAGATCCCTCTGCATCTACACTGTAGAATTAATGCTCTTTGACACCATTTTAACTACAAATGCTAAAGAATCCTGGGAGTTTGTAGTTTTGCAAGTTCTTCACTTTGTAAGAGAATGCTGGTGCTTCACCAAACTACAAACTACAACTTCACCAAACTACCACTTCTATGACTGCATAGCACTAATAATAATAAATAATAATAAAAATTTATTTATATACTGCTCTATCTCCCCGAGGGAGACTCAGGGCAGTTTCCAAGTAACATCACAGAGTAAACAGCATAACATAAAATTAACAAAACAACATAAGCATAAAATTATCACAATAACACATATATATTAAAAATAATCCTGCCTGTTCAGAGCAATTAAAAGGCTGTGCTGAGGCTAGTGCAAACTCAAAATACGAGGGGAAAGGGAATTAAGTACAATGCTATAACAGGCTAACAACAATAGCAGGTACAGGTCTTTGGCTGCTCATTTCCAGGACCTATTAGAGGGATAACCGGGGTAATAGGTAAGAGTACAAGGCCATATTCAACAATGTTTGGGGCTGGGCTAGAACTGGTCATTCTCAAAGGCTTGTTGAAACCACCAGGTCTTCAAGCTCTTACGAAAGGAGGGGAGGGATGGGGCTTGTCTTATTTCCCTTGGAAGGGCGTTCCAAAGGCGGGGAGCCACCACCAAGAAGGCCCTCTCTCTCATCCCCACCAACCGTACTTGTGACGGAGGTGGGAGCGAAGGCAGGGTCTCCTCGGAGTTTGCGCCGGTTCATAGAAGGAGATGCGATTGCGGAGACAGGTGGGGCCCTAACCATTGAGACATGGCAGTTAAAGTGGTGTCAAAGTGCATCAATTCTACATCAAGTGTAGGTTCTTGGCTGCGCATGTTCAGATTGCAAGCAATTGGTTGGCTGCAATGGAAAGGAAGAAGCTGGACAAAATGAGACTCCTTCTCTGGCATGGTGCATCTTTATGCATTACCTCCACTCCCTTCTTCTTGACCCAGGCTCTGATCCCATCAACATTCCAGGATGTGACCTTCAAGGTGTATTTCTTGCCACTGGAAGAGGTCAGTTTATCCGGAGGGTCCTGGTACAAGATGGGACCGTCGGCCTCCTTCGCAGCTTTAGCTCCACCTTTCTTGGCTTTCTTAGGTTCTGGTTCTGTGTGAGAAAAGACAGACAGACAGACAGATACAGAGAATGATTAGAGAGTGACTCAAACCACTTTTCACCCATCATAGTGAACTTGGTATCATGCTGGACTGGCACTTCCAACACAGTTGATGAGAAGGAATGATCAGAACTGAAGTCTACAAAACATCTACCTAGCGCTGCTTTAAGAAAGCTCTGCAAATCTATAACTATGTATCTAAGAGTGCCTCTCCACTGAAGAAATAGTGCAGCTTGACCCCACTTTAACTACCTTGTCAGGAGTGACTTAAGAAACTGCAAGTCACTTCTGGTGTGAGAGAATTGTTCATCTGCAAGGACTTATTTATTTATTTATTTATTTATTTGTATACTTATATACCGCAATATCTCAGCCTGTCCAGGGGACACCAATATGTTTTACCATCCTGTGAGAGGCTTCATATCCCCGCATGAGAAGCTGGAGCTGACAGATGGGTGCTCACCCCGTCCCCCAGATTCAGTCCTGCCACCACAAGGTTTTAACCCACTGCACTATGGAATCCTGGGAGTTATAGTATGGTGAGGTGCCAACACTCTTTGGTAGAGAAGGGTAAAGACCTTGACCAACTACAACTTCTCTCATTCCATAGCATTGCACCATTGCAGTTAAAGTGGTGACAAACTGTAATATTTCTACGGTGAAGATGCACCTTATGTTTTGGACTTGTGTCGTTATTACACCCAATACCTCTACACCTTCTAGTAATCAGATGAAGAGTTATGCAGAAAACAAAAGGTTTTTCTATCCTTGTAGCATTCTGTTGTGCCCTGATGAACAAAAACACAATGCACAACAAGCCCACATGGAAGAAGGATGCCCTTTCTGCCTTGGTTCGGGGTAATCCTATCTTTATGACTAAGATGGAAATATGTACCTGCCACTTCCTTCTCCTCTGGCACGACTCCATCCTCTTCCTTCTTCTTTCCTCGTTTTGGCATCTCAAGTCCCCAACTTGGTCCGACCTGAAGCAGCCGGCGGCTGAGTCTTACAAGCTGCACGGTTCCTGGCCAGCAACGTCTCCTGGGAAGAAAGCAGCCAATATAGCTCATGACCGTATTCCCATCCTCACTACTTTACCAGCCATGATTAAAGGCTATGGAATTGAGGGAGTTGTATATATAATATATAATAACATAATATATTAGGTTCTTGTGGCGGTTTTTGGGCTATAGGGCAATGTTATTGTAGAACCTAGAAACATTCACAGCTAGCCCCAGCAGACAAAAGTCCTTTGTCTCACCCTGGTCATTCTACAGATATATAAACCCATTTTTCCTAGTTCCAACAGACCTCACTACCTCTGAGGAAGCTTGCCATAGATGCAGGTGAAACGTCAGGAGAAATGCCTCTAGAACATGGCCCTATAGCCCGAAAAAACCCACAAGAACCTAGTGATTCCAGCCATGAAAGCCTTCGATAATACATTGAACATAATATATTGTATGTGTGTGAATATGTGTGTGTGTGTGTGTATCTATATCTATATCCCATTCAGGGTGAGAAGATCGGCATATAAATGTCGTAAATAAATAAATATGTAAGTGAAATCCATAAAGACTATCTCAAACACTTTATTTTCTTTTAATTGGAGATTAAAAAATCACTAGCATTGAGGTGTTCGGTTGCCTTTGGCCTTTTTCATAGCCAATGGCACCATTTCCACAAAACACAGCTCACACCGATCAAAATGGGCCTTCTCTATGGAAAAGACAGCAAATTGGAGAAACCTGACTTGGCAGCCAAATACCCAAAAAGGAGACATGTCTTAATTGACCACAAAGTGCATGCAAACCAGTAATTCAGTGCCGCAGCTAAGGAAGCGAATGCCATGTGCTGCATGATCGGAAACACAAGATCCAAAGCGTGACAAGAAATGAGCCCAATTAAGATAATAACAGCAGGATCCCTATATCTGCAAAGGGATATGTACCAAGGCTATCCCAACAGTTGAGGAAGAATGTCCTATGATCCTGGGGAAAGTACCGTATTTCTTTGATTCTATTATGCCATCAATTTTAAGATGGCAACATGGTCTGTGCACATTCAGAAGAAGACATACAAGCCACTCTAAACACCTTGGCAAAAGCATACGAGAAGCTTGGCCTGTCACTGAACATTGAGAAAACCAAAGTCCTCTTCCAGCAGTCATCAGCCGATCCCTCTGCAATGCCAGAAATACAGCTTAATGGTGTAACATTAGAAAATGTTGACCATTTCCGCTACCTTAGCAGCCACAAAAGTCAACATTGACACTGAAATACAACATGGCCTGAGCTCTGCGAGTGCAGCATTTTTCCGAATGAAGCAGAGAGTGTTTGAGGACCGGGACATCCATAGGGATAGAATCGTAGAATCACAGAGTTGGAAGAGACCTCATGGGCCATCCAGTCCAACCCTTTGTCAAGAAGCAGGAATATTGCATTTCAAGCACCCCTGACAGATGGCCATCCAGCCTCTGTTTAAAAGCTTCCAAAGAAGAAGATATCCTCCACCAGGATATTCCATCTGAACATTAGGAAGAACTTCCTGACTGTGAGAGCCGTTCAGCAGAGTTCCTAATGTTCAGATGGAATCTCCTTTCCTGTAGTTTGAATACAAGGTGCTTGTTTATAAAGCTATTGTCCTCCCAACACTGTTCTACGCCTGCAAGAGGTGGACTATCTACATGCAACTCCTGGAACAATTCCATCAGTGTTGCCTCAAAAAGAAATCCTGCAAATCTCTTGGGAAGACAAGCAGACAAATGTCAGTGTGCTGGAAGAAGGAAAGACCACCAGCATTGAAGCGATGGTCCTCCGCCATCAACTCAGTTGGACCGGCCACATTGTCCGACCACCGTTTTCCAAAGCAGTTACTCTACTCCGAACTCAAGAATGGAAAACGGAAAGTTGGTGGGCAGGAAAAGAGATTTAAAGATGGGCTCAAAGCCAACCTTTCAAAATCTGGCATAGACACTGAGAACTGGGAAGCCCTGGCCCTTGAGCGCTCCAGTTGGAGGTCAGCTGTGACCAGCAGTGCTGTAGAATTTGAAGGGGCACGAATGGAGGGCGAAAGAAACCTGCCAAGAGGAAGGCACATCAAGCTAACCCCGATTGAGACCGCCTTTCACCTGGAAACCAATGTCCTCACTGCAGGAGAAGATGCAGATCAAGAATAGGGCTCCACAGTTACCTATGGACCCATCGCCAGGACACCGAACTTGGAAGACAATTTTACTTGGACGAGAGATCGCCTAAGTAAGTAAGTATCAACACACTAATCTCAGTACCAACAACTGAAAAAAAACTATTTATATATACAAATGAGAAAGCACTCACAATTCTGAGACATAGCCCATTTTAAAAATATTTATATCAAGGGGAAAGTGTGTCTTAGGCTCCATCTCTACTGTCATATAATGCAGTCTGAAAGTGCATTATATGGGCAGTGTTGTAGACTTATTATTATTTAAATGGGAAGTGTGGGTCTGCTTTTGGCTGATGAGATAGGATTATTGTTGTGTGCTTTCAAGTCGTTTCAGAATTAGGTTGACCCTGAGTGAGGGCCGGGTAAATTACCTTGGAGGGCCGTATCCGGCCCCTGGGCCTTAGTTTGAGGACCCCTGCCATAGACGCACAACATATATAGACAGATAGTAGAGGACCCCTCCCCCCAGCACCAACTGCTGATCTGGGCCAGAGTGAAAAGAGAGGGGGCCAAGGGACAGTTCCATCTTGTCTCCTGTGCTATGCTAATAATATAATGTAATGTAAAATAATATAGTGTACATACATATAATTATATAATATAATTATATAATTATATAATATAATAATGTCCAATCTTGATAAAATAGTAAAGAGTAGAGACATCAGACTGGCAACAAAGATCTGCCTAGTCAAAGCCATGGTATTCCCTGTAGTAACCTACGGATGTAAGAGAGCAAAGGAAGAGAGATGCTTTTGAAATGTGGTGTTGGAGGAAAGTTCTGAGAGTGCCTTGGACTGCGAGAAGATCCAACCAGTCCATCCTCCAGGAAATAAAGCCCGGCTGCTCACTGGAGGGAAGGATACTAGAGACAAAGTTGAAGTACTTTGGCCACATCATGAGGAGACAGCAAAGCCTAGAGAAGGCAATTATGCTGGGGAAAGTGGAAGGCAAAAGGAAGAGGGGCCGACCAAGGGCAAGATGGATGGATGGCATCCTTGAGGTGACTGGACTGACCTTGAAGGAGCTGGGGGTGGTGACGGCCGACAGAGAGCTCTGGCGTGGGCTGGTCCATGAGGTCACGAAGAGTCGGAGATGACTGAACGAATGAACAACAACAACACATACATATAATATTTATAATATGATAATGTAATGCAATAAGCTGTCAGCCCCAGCTTCTGCCAACCTAGCAGTTCAAAAACATGGAAATGTGAGTAGATCAATAAGTACCGCTCCGGCGAGATGGTAACGGCGTTCCATGCGGTCATGCTGGCCACATGACCTTGGAGGTGTCTATGGACAATGGCAGCTCTTCGGCTTAGAAATGGAGATGAGCAACACTCCCCAGAGTCAGACACAACTAGACTTAATGTCAGGGGAAAACCTTTACCTTACTATGTCCACTGGGGCCTTCTTTTGAGCAAGTATAATTAAGGTGACAGCCTGAAATGTAAACTCCTGCTGTTAGGCCCAGCTTCTGCCAACCTAGCAGTTCGAAAACATGCACATATGACTAGGGAAGGCAATGGAGCTTCATGCAGTCATGCTGGCCATGAGACCTTGGAGGTGTCTATGGACAACGCCGGCTCTTTGGCTTAGAAATGGAGATGCACACCAACCCCCAGAGTCGGACACGACTGGACTGGTCTTTACCTTTAATGCAATATAATAATATGATAGTATAATTGTATATGTATATTACATGTAATATTACTAATAAGATTACAATATAATGGTATAGTACAATATAGTAGTATTTAATACTGATATTGTACTATGTTAATAATATAATATAATGGGGGTGCATAAAAATGTAAATAAATAAATAAATGAATAATAGTGTAGATGCACCCTCTGCAACGATGGAAGTCCTTTTTTTTAGATCAAGGCAAAGCAATTTATTATTGTTATTGTTATTATTATTATATTGCACAGTAATTGATGGTTCTTCCTGGCTGCTGCTCTTACCAGGCCAAGATCCTAAAAGCGCCCCTTGGAGACAATCCGCAGACAATTACTCCTTTTGGTAGAATGGAGAAAGCGAGGAGCACGTGGAATCGATTGCTATCACGTGACAAGGGCTTCTGGGCTGTCCCGATGACGTCAGGGGGCGGGGTTAGCCGCCCAAACCAATCAGAAAGTAGTCCAGAAGCGAAGGGGTTAAACAGAACGCGGAAGAGAGAGTGAGAAACCCCGCCTTATCATATGGAGAGGGGCCGGTGGGCGGGGCTTGGTGCCCGATGACGTCACTATATTCTGTCCAGTCTGGGTTCCCTCTTTGCCCTAAGAGAAACAAGCTTTTATTGAAACTATACAACTAAGGTTCTCAATTGAACAATGAGGGAAAAAAAGGAATACTGCAAATTAGAGAATCCAGAGATAGAAAGGGAAAATCCTCTATGTAGGACATGCCTCTTTTCCTCATTAAAATATAACTTTATTGGGTTGCTGTGACAATATTTCTTTATTCCTCTTCAGCCACTCAATTCCCCGCATACGGCGGCTGTCGAATGCTAACCGGAAGTGTTTATTGCAAGGTGTCGTTTCATATCCCTTCCTCTGGAATCTTTTTTTCCTAAGAGGGAGGGGGAAGGAGTGAGGCAAATTTAACCCTTTCTCATCTGTCCTCCTCTGGGGCTTCCCACTTTCAAAACAACTCTTCCTTTGGTTCAAAGTATATTATTTTCTTATTATAGATCCTAATATTCTCCAGTTACCAAACTGAGGTTTTGTTTACCTTTTTGAAGCAGAAAAGTTGGAAAAAGCAAAAACAAAGGACAGGAAGGAGGATAAAACCTGCTGGAGGTAAGGAATAGAAAACGTGGGTGCACTGTAGGTTCTGGGTTGTTGTAAGTTTTTCAGGCTGTATGGCCATGTTCCAGAAGCATTCTCTCCTGACGTTTTGCCTGCATCTATGGCAGGCATCTTCAGAAGTTGTGAGGTCTGTTGGAAACTACGCAAGTAGGGTTTATATATGTATAAACAGGGAGTTTCAGAAAAACATCTATTTCTGCTTCATTAACTACTCTAAAGCCTTTGACTGTGTGGATCATAATAAATTGTGGCAAGTTCTTAGTGGGATGGGCATCCCAAGCCACCTTGTCTCTCTCCTGAGGAATCTGTACAAGGACCAAGTAGCAACAGTAAGAACTGACCATGGAACAACAGAGTGGTTCAAGATTGGGAAAGGCGTCCGGCAAGGCTGCATCCTCTCACCCAACCTTTTTAACTTGTATGCAGAACACATCATGCGATGTGCGGGGCTGGATGAATGCAAAGCTGGGGTGAAAATTGCTGGAAGAAACATTAATAACCTCAGATATGCAGATGACACCACTCTGATGGCCGAAAGCGAAGAGGAGCTGAGGAGCCTTCTAATCAAGGTGAAAGAAGAAAGCGCAAAAGGGTGGCAGCTAAACATAAAAAAAAACCAAGATTATGGCAACAAGAATGATTGACAACTGGGAAATAGAGGGAGAAACCGTGGAGGCCGTGACAGTCTTTGTATTTCTAGGTGTAAAGATGACTGCAGATGCAGACTGTAACGCAGACTGTGGCCAGGAAATCAGAAGACGCTTACTTCTTGGGAGGAGAGCAATGTCCAGTCTCGATAAAATAGTAAAGAGTAGAGACTTCAGACTGGCAACAAAGATCCTCCTAGTCAAAGCCATGGTATTCCCTGTAGTAACCTACGGATGTGAGAGCTGGACCTTAGGGAAGGCTGAGCGAAGGAAGATCGATGCTTTTGAACTGTGGTGTTGGAGGAAAGTTCTGACAGTGCCTTGGACTGCGAGAAGATCCAACCAGTCCATCCTCCAGGAAATAAAGCCCGACTGCTCATTGGAGGGAAGGATACTAGAGACAAAGTTGAAGTACTTTGGCCACATCATGAGGAGAAAGGAAAGCTTAGAGAAGACAATGATGCTGGTTAAAATGGAAAGAAAAAGGAAGAGAGGCCGACCAAAGCAAGATGGATGGATGGGATCCTTCAATGACTGGATTGACCTTGAAGGAGCTGGGGGTGGTGACGGCCACAGGGAGCTCTGGCGTGGGCTGGTCCATGAGGTCACGAAGAGTCAGAGACAACTGAACGAATGAACAACAACACAGGGTTTATATATCTGTGGAAAGTCCAGGGTGGGAGAAAAAACTCTTGTCTGCTGGAGATATGTGTGAAAGTAGCAATTGACCACCTTGATTAGCATTGAATGGCCTAGCAGTTTCAAGGTCTGGCTTCTTATTGCCTGGGGGAATTCCTTTGTTGAGAGGTGATTAGCTGGCCCTGATTGTTTCTTGTCCGGAATTCCCCTGTTTTTGAGTGTTGTTCTTTATTTACTTTATTTAACGTCAGGAGAGAATGCTTCTGGAACATGGCCATACAGCCCAAAAAACTTACAACAACCCAGAGATTCCGGCCACGAAAGCCTTCGACAATACACCGTAGGCTCTATTTTGGAGGAAAGAATGGGCCAAACCATTCCTTGCCTTGGGCACCATCTACACTGCCTGCTTAATTCAGTTCGAAGCTACATTCAAACTGCAATGGCCAGGCAACACACTCCCATGAAAGTATGCAAAAGAAAAGTCCCTTGATGTGCATCGATGCTGTGAGGCTTGTGTTATCACCATCCGGACCTGCACAGACAAACCACTTTCTTCAATACCTGTTTGAAACTGAGTTAAATAGTCGGTGTAGATGAAACATAAGAATCATAGATTTGGAAGAGACCTCGGGTATCCAGTCCAACTCCTTACCAAAAAGCAAGAAAATCGCATTTAGAGCACCCCCAACAGATGGCCATCCAGCCTCTACGTAAAAGCTTCCCAAGAAGAAGCCTCCACCATACTACGGTGCAGAGAGTTCCACTGCTGAATGGCTCTCAAAGTTAGGAAGTTCTTCCTAATGTTCAGGTGGGATCTCCTTTCCTCCAGTTTGAAAAACCCTATGAAATTACTGAGATCATGGGAAATTTAATATAGAACGAGTGATAGCTGCAGATTCCTTTTGTTCCATAGCTTAATCATAATATGTAATATTTCTGACAAAGTTGAAGTACTTTGGCCACATTATGAGGAGACAGGAAAGCCTAGAGAAGACAATTATGCTGGGGAAAGTGGAAGGCAAAAGGAAGAGGGGCCGACCAAGGGCAAGATGGATGGATGGCATCCTTGAAGTGACTGGACTGACCTTGAAGGAGCTGGGGGTGGTGACGGCCGACAGGGAGCTCTGGCGTGGGCTGGTCCATGAACAACAACAACAATATTTCTGAATATTCGAACGAATGAACAACAACAACAATATTTCTGAATATTCATTTTACTTTCCCTCTGCCCCTTACTAGGCTAAATAGACTAGGCTAAATAGGACCCAGTTCCCAAGATGTGTAAGGACTTTTAAGCTTTTTCCTATCCCAGCACTAATTCCCTATGGTGGAAAGTTAATATCTTGTTTCTCTGGCTTTCAAGGACACAATATGCCTGTGATCATTGGTTTCGAGGGCAGTGCCAATAAGATCGGCATCGGGATTGTACGGGATGGAGAGGTGCTCAGCAACCCCCGAAGGACATACGTCACCCCTCCAGGGCAGGGTAAGTATCCTGTGTATGATGCTATGCCAGGTATACAAAGATGCATCACATTGTTGTATGACTTCAAGTCATTTCCAACTTATGGCAATCCTAAGGTGAATCTGTCACAGGGTTTTCTGGGGCAGAGAGTAAGTTATTTGCCCAAGGTCATTGAATTACTGTTCTTGGCTGAATCCTGGTCTCCAGAGTCATAATCCAACACTTAGAGCACTATACTATTATTCTGGACACCAAAATTGAAGGGAGATGGTGACAAGCTGGAATGTGTCCAGAGAAGGGCGATTAAAATGATCAAGGGTCTGGAGAACAAGCCCTGTGAGGAGTGGCTTAAAGAGCTGAGCATGTTTAGCCTGCAGGAGAGAAGGTGGAGAGGAGACATGAGGGCCATGTATCAATATGTGAGAGGAGTAGGCCTGTTTTCTTCTGCCCTGGACACTAGGACAATGGCTACAAACTACAAGAAAGGAGATTCCATCTGAACATTAGGAAGAACTTCCTAACTGTGCAAGCTCTTCAGCAGTGGAACTCTCTGCCCCTGAGTGTGGTGGAGGTTCCTTCTTTGGAGGCTTCTAAAAAGAGGCTGGGTAGCCATCTGTTGGGGGTGCTTTGAATGCAATATTCCTGCTTCTTGGCAGGGGGTTGGACTGGATAGCCCATGAGGTCTCTTCCAGCTCATTTTATGTGTTGTAAATGACAGCAAAATCTCTGTTTTCCTAACAGATCAGAGATCACAGGTTATTCAGTCTAACAACTGAAACCATTGCCTTTGCATAATTATATCGGGTTGTATTCCATAAGAGAAGATTCTACTCTAAAGGACTTTTGGCTTTTCTCTGAAAAGTCATGCTTTTCTAAAAGTTATGATTTCCAAAAGGTTATGAATGCCATTTTCCAAAAGTATGCACCATCCTGCACTTAGAATTCGGCCTTTGCTGTTTATCTTTCCTATGTCTCATATATCTCTATCTTCATGCCTCTAACCCTTCATCCCATTCCAGGCTTCCTACCGAGTGACACTGCGCGTCATCACCGTTCTTGCGTCCTTGCCGTCCTGCAGGAAGCACTTCGCGAAGCTGGGCTGAAGCCAAAGGACATAGATGCAGTAGCGTTTACCAAAGGTACATTCCTTGCATCACACACATAAGGTGAAATAAAAAGAAGATGTAAACAGTACATGGGAGAAGTTTGCAAAACAGATGGAAGTGTGACAGATTCATTTGATGAAACAACATACAAAGAGAAAACAGATAGGAAGGATGCTGGAGAAGAGTTGCATGGATACCGCGGATTGATCAAAAGTCAAAGAAAGGGGTCCAAGGCCAAGGGTGCTTCTACGCTGTAGAATTAATGCAGTTTGGCACCACTTTGGCTACAATGGATCCTGGGAGTTTTTGTTTGGTATGGCACTTTTTGGCAGACAAGTTGCTGCCATGATATAAATGGGGAAATAATTATCAGAATTGGAGCCCTCAGTGGCGCAATGGGTTAAAG